GAATTATGACGCAATAATGAATTATTTTTGAAAAGGAAAAAGGATTTATTGCATCAGCGGCTAGGGTTTGCGGTGGACCGGGTGCACGGCGACGGTTCACGGGAACGGACGGCCGAGATCAACCCTATCCAAAACGGAAGGCCGAGATCAAACGGTCCACGACCGGCTCACGGGGAACGGCAACGATGACGTCAGCACCGGCGGCGGCTCGGGAGCGCAAGCTCGCCGGCGAACGACGGCGCGACAACGAGAACGGAGGGCACCAGGACGTAGAGCGCGGCGCGGCGAACTTACCGGTGACCAAAGAAGCGGCGGAGGAACAACGGACGGCGACGGCGACGAGGAAGAAGCGGCGGCGGAGATCGGGTCGACGGCGGCGACGGTGCTCCGGCGATCTTCGGCGACGGCGAAGCGGCGGACGGGGACGGCGACGACTTGGCGATCCCGACGGTGGCCTTCCCGAGTGACGACGACGACCGTAGCGACGGCGGCGCACGGCTGGACGAACGGCGGCGACGGCGGCGCAAAAGCTCACGAGGCTAGGGCGCTACACACGACGGCGGGCGAAGGCGAGAGAGGCGGCGGGTAGCGGAGACACCGGGGGTCCTTTTAAAGGGGCAAGGAGGCGGCAGTGAAGGCCCACGGCTGCCGGCGACGAGAAGGAAAGGTCGGGGTTAGAGGAGAGAGATGAATCCGAATCCAACTCAAATCCACCGGTTTCCAAAGAAAATTAGCCGATGTTTCCAAAAGAGAAAAGGAAGAGGAGATCTCAAGGATCAATTGCCCTCAATCAATTCGGCCGGAGAAGGAAAGGCGCGGCCGAATTTGGAAGGAGACGGCGGCGGCTTGCGCTAGGGTTTCGGGCGGCGGCGACGGCGCGAGGAAGACGAACCTGACAGGTGGGACCCACCTGTCAGCGACACCGAGAGAGAAAAGGAAGGAGCGCGGGCTGACTGGGCCGACTGGGCCGGGGAGGGAGAGAGAAAGAGAGAGGGGTTTTGGGCCGACTTTCGGCCCAAAGCCAAAATAAGACTTTTAAAAACCTTTTTCAATTTAAATTATTCATGAAATGCAATTCCATTTATTAAAAATACTTCCTTAGCTCAAATAAATCCCAGAAAAATCTAGGAATTATAGAATTAAGCAAAGTATTTAATAAAATTTTATCTAGCCCAATTTTATATTGAGATTTAGCAAATTAAAATTAGATCTTCTCTTTTAGGCTTTTAAAATCATTTCTAATAATTCCTTTTAAACAACAATTTATAATTTAAGGATTTTTAAACCAGAAAAGCTCTTAACAATTATAATTAGATCATTAATGATCAAATAATTACTGAACTGTTCTTTGTATCATTTAGGAATTGAGCTCTGAAAAATCCGAGAAAATTTCAGAGAGTTGACTTAATCATGGAGAATTTAATAAAAATTAAATCCATCCATGCTTTATATTTAGGAAATTTTATTTCCCACATTTAACTTCCCTTGTAAATTAAAGATCATTTAATATAAATTCTATTAATAATTTATTAAATAATTTATAAATCCTGAAACAAAAATCAGGATGTGACAGTACACAAACGACAATGTTGACATTCAGATCCACGTCTTACAAACATCATAAAAGTCTTACATAAATGCAGCGGAAGAAAAGAAAGACAACAGGAGCTAAGCCTTGACTAAACTGCAGCGGGAACACCACTCCACAGGCATCCTCGACGGCACGGACGAAGCCTACTCCTCAGAGAAACCTTTATCTGACCCAAACTCGAACTCTGGGTTGGGAAAAGTAGAGCAAGACTGAGTACTACCCACTGTACTCAGCAAGTCATACCGGAATAGGGGTATGATGCAGGGAATTATCAAAGAAGAGCTAGAGCGGTTCATTTGCATAAAGCGAGCATTTATAAACAGAAGTTGAAAGATTAAACCGTTGTAATAATTAATTAATATCAACTATCCACTGCCCAACGCTAACCCACGTTGCGACAGGCCCAACCATCCACCTAAACTATCCAATTTCAAAAGATTACACTAGGGTGAGACTAATCACGGTGAATCTGGTTGACCGCCCATAACCGCGGGCACGGCTATTCGAATAGTTTTACTCTGATCAGAGGTGTACAACTGTACCCACAAGACACAGCCCCACGACACGTTTCCATGCGCCGACATGCCACCACGACATATCAGAAAGAGGCCGTGACAGGACCCTTCGCATAACCCCCTCTAGCCAAGCACACCACACCTCAGGTTTCACCCCCGTCCCCAGCGGGCAACGGGCAGTCCCCTCTCGTGCCTAGGTGAATCCGGAAACGACAGAGGCCGTCGCAGGGCCCGCCCCGCTCCATCACGCCCACCCTTGCCTGGATGCGTCGACTAGATGAGAGCTACACTACAAGCCCAGCCGTTGCCCACGCTGGCTTGTGGTAAGTACGATAAGTTCTTTCAGGGCATCCCGCGAACCGGTCCTTAACTGCCATGGGTGCGACCAGCAAAACCATGCACCCACAGCCCACCATGTGATTTATTTTAATTAACCAACACCAAAGCGGTGGCACTAATCCAACAAAACCATTAGAACCAACAGTCTAAACATTAATAGGATTTTCCCCATTGTGAACTAGTTGAACTAAGCATGGCTAAGCAATTCCTAGTCCAAACTCTAATCATGTTGTAACCCCAAGCTAACAAAGGAGCATGGTATCCAAAAAGCATAGCTGTAACAATAGGTAACCATCCCATAGTAATATTATAAAACAATGCAATATTTGAAAGAAAACAATAGAGCATTTGCAATATAGGATCAACATGTTCAAGTGACAAGCATGACTTGCCTTGCTCTGCTGCTGGAGGAACCTCGGCGACTATTTCGAAGTACACCGGAGCGTCGGAGGAGTCGGAATCTAGCGACATACAAAGCAAACAATGCAAACAGGCTATAAGACTACTGAAACAGGGAACAAAACCATTTTTAATGGATTCTACACATTACTCTTGATTTACTGAGACTTGAATGGGCTTAAACGGAGCTCGGATGAATTAGTTATGAATTTTAGAAGATTCACTGTGTTTATTACTATAACAAAAATTCTTAAATAATTTATTGCGCAATATTTTCCAGGGCTGACATCAGCACGGGGAAGCGGCGCTGACATGCGGGGCCCACCAGTCAGCGGCTCGGGAGAGAGAGGAAGGGCGCCGGCACGCGGGGCCCACTGGTCAGCGGCGGGGGGAAAGAAAAGGGGCGGCGGCACCCGGCTCGGCTTGGCTCAAGGCCGGCCGACCGGCCGCGGCGACGGCGCGCGCGCGAATGCGTTGCCGGCGGCGCATCCGGCGGCGGGGCGACGGCGCAAAACGACGCGGAAACGGCGGCAACGGATGGCGGCAGCGACCGAAGGCGACGGCGAGCGCGGGCGACGGCGACGCACGGGGGATCGGGGGAAGGAAAGGAAAGGGGTGGGAGTCCTCACCGAATGGGACGGCGGCGACCGTCGACGATGAGCCACGGGAGGACGACGTCGGCGGGCGGACGAGCTCCGAGATGCCCTAAGAAAGGAAAAGAGAGAGATTAGAGGGAGAGGGGTGGTCCACGGCGGGCGGAAACCATGGCCGAAGGCGGCGGTAGAGATGGTGCTCACCAGAGTGCGAGGGGGTGAGGGCTCCGGCGACGAACCTCGACGGAGGAGGGGTGAACGGGGTGGACCTCGGCCGCGCGAACCCAACGGCGCCGACGGCGCGGTGCGGCGGCAAGTGTAGCGGCGGCTAGAGGCGGCCGGAGTAGCGGGAGAGGCGGCGGCGGATGGGCGCACGGCGCGGGAGCAATGGAGGGCACGGGAGAGAGCGGTGGAAAAAGAAAATATGTGGAGGGGAGTGCGGGCATGCTTTATAGGGGCTCGGGAGAGACGGATGTGGCCAAGGCGCTCCCGATTTCACCGGCGACGTGGGAGGTTGAAGGTGGGGGAGAGAGAGAGAGAGCGGCGGGATTCAAATTTGAATCCCGGCCATCTCGGTTGAGGGCCCGGCGAGAGAGAGAGGGGGAGTGGGTGCGGGAGGCGCGGCGCACGCACGGGCGTGGCCGACGTGGACCGGAGGAGGCGGGGTGCGGCGGTTTCGGCGGCGGATGGGCGACGTGGGCGAGTGGCCGGAGGTTGGGGAAGGGCCCGATAGGTGGGCCCCACCTGTCGGCGACCCCGGGGAGAGGAGGGAGGCGGCCGGCCTGGCTGGGCCTCGGCCTGCGGCCGGCCCAGCAGGGAGGAGGGGGAGGAAGGAGAGAATGGGCCGGCGGCCCATTCGAAAAAAGGAGGAAAAAAAAAGGGAGGAAAAAGAAAAAGAAGAAGGAAAAAGGATTTTCCCTGGAATTAAAATATTGCTTGCTCAATTTTAATTGGTTAAAATTATTTCTAGAGCTCTGAAAATTCCACTAAAAATCCTGTTAATGAATTTCGACATGTAGAACTCAAGAAAAATTCCACATGTCAAATCCGATTATTATTTGCATTACTTTCTTAGGGTTTTCTCTTGATTTGCACCTGCATTTTCTTGGGGGGTCGTTTATAAATTAAATTTTAGGCCTGGGAGGAGAACTTCAGGGTGTGACATACGGGCACGAGCATGGGTAGTGACCCATGCCCGCTTCGCCCGTTTACCCGCAAAAACCAACTGACATGTGGGCTCTCAGTCAAATTAGTATAAATGCCACCGTCTAGGATTGATAAACTTGTAATGCTTGTATTGTAGAACTTGGTACAACTGTACCCTATCTTTAAACTGTGATAATATCTCTCTGCTTGTAGAGATTTGTGGTTGAAGGATTGAACTGTAAGCCTGTGATGGGTAAACGGATATGCCCGCGAGCACATGGCGCCCGCGGGCGATGGGCATAGACAATGTTCCTTCCACGTCATGTAGTAACGGGCATGCCCGCGGGCACGAGCATGGGTAGTCACTACCCGTGCCCGTCGTGCCTGCCATCCCTAAATGCAATGATAATGAAGGGGTGGATCGGACGCTCAATGTTCAAACTTGAGAGCCCAGAAAATAATTTATATTGCGGCGAAGCCCAGAAGCTTGTCTATTTTTGAAAATGAATAAGTCCACTTGCCGTCCCTCATCTTTATGTCGAGTTTAATTAACATCCCAAAACTGCAATACCATAAATCTTCACCTCCCCCCAAAAAAAAAATAAAACTTTACAAAACCGTTCAAGTGAGGTCCCTTGGCAGTATGGATATTTGTTTTGGATGACGTGGCATCTTAGTCATCGGAAAAAAAAGTTAAAAAGAACATATGGGGCCGGCCCACATGTAAGTGCCATATCACCTTCCTCTGCCTTCTCTCCCCTCTCTCTTCACCAACGGCTAGCACGCAGTGGGAATGGGCTTCAGCTCCATGCTGTTATCCATGCTTGCCTCTGTCACGACGAACTCCCAACGGAAATCGGCTTCGGCTCCATGATGTTGGAGCTCATCAGCGCGGATTCCATCGGCTCCGACACCGGCACAACCATCGTGCGCAACTTCTTCGGCATGGCGGCTCTACGTCTCGCTAATTTTTAGAGAAAAGGTCAGAGACCTGGCTTTTACTTGAAAGCCACATCGGCGGTGTCTTTTAACAGCTGGGGATGCCAGCGAACCATACAAGAGCAAAACAAGACTAGTAAGCTTAACCACAGCAAGGAGCTTAGGAGCAGACCAAAAGCTGAACAAACACTTGACAACAACCTCTAAAGCCAACACACCAACAGCTAACGCTAACCAACTAACCCACACCTAATCTCGGATGCCGTAGGCCTGTCATCACCTTTATTTCTTCTGTCATAGCTTCTAGCTTGATCTCATCGTTAGGTTTGAAGAGCCTCCTCCACTGCAAAAGATTAGAGATAATTTGAAAGGGCAAAGTTAGTGTCACGCCCAGAAATTTACTAGTAATTTCCGAACTAGTTTGTTGTCACGCTCAGAAATTCACTAGTAATTTCCGAACTTATTTGTGCATAAAATCCTCGTCCAGGAATCAGCCGAGGTACACAAACTGACAATTTAATATACAGAATCATCAATAATAGTGTTACATACTTTCAAAAGAAAAGAAAACTGCAACGGAATTACGGTCTAGCGAAGCTCCGGCTCCACTCCCACAGGCAGCTCAACTGGGGTATAAGCCAAACGTCTTCTCCTTCTGGATCCTTTTTCTTCAACTGAGGTTGATTGATTATTGCAAGAATGAGCATATGACATACTCAACAAGCCACACAGCAAATATGCAAGTGCACAAGGATACCAAAGGATGGCATAATATAGGCTCATTTGCAAAAGCAGCATTTAGCAAAACATTTAAGAGGAGTAAAACAGTGGAGTAATTAATCAGAAATTTTAATCAACACTGAACAGCACACCCATGCTGCACAGGCCCAACCATCCTGAACAACCATACCCGGCTGTACAGATCTAACTCCAAACCAGGAGCTAAGCAAATTATTACCAGATATAACATCCATAATTATTGTGAGAGGTGTGAGACTAATCACGAAAAACATTGCTCAACCCGCCCATAACCGCGGGCACGGCTATTCGAATAGTTTTACTCTAGCCAGAGGTGTACCACTGTACCCACAAGACACAGCCTCCTCATCATGTCTACCATGCGTCGCGATACTGGAAAGTACCCGAATAGAGGCTGTGACAATACCCTTTGCACAACACAACTCACCACAGTGCACCATTCCTGGATCATAATCACCCCCTCTATAAATATAACTAGAGGCATGGACTCCCCAGCGACCCCCACGGACTTCTCGCCGCTTCTCAGTCTGGTGCCCCGCAATGAATCATGCTATACAGAAGGTAAAGCCGTTGCCCATGCTGGCTTGTGGTTGGTACGGTTAATGTTTCATAACAGTAGCTCGTGAACCGGTCCTTAATTGTCATGAGCACGACCTTCAAAACCATGTGCTCACAACCCACCATTGTCAAGTTTTAGTTATCAATTAATTATCATAACACGATTAACCATCGTGAGCTACGATTAAACCATCATTAAACAATGAGTCATAAGTTATCCCAATAGTGTGCTAATGTTTCTAAGCATGGCTAAGCAATCATATCTAATATCTAGCTGAACCAATATATAAAGCTCAACTAGTCAAGTTATAATAACCCAAGGTATCAAGGAATAAAGTAATCAATGCAAATTGGCCATAACAAAGGAATAGGTTCACACCACCCAGTGACATTCGAAAATAAATGCACAGTTGAAATAAATAGAGAATTTAAATATAGGATCAACATGCTCAAAGGATTGTGTTTAGGATCTGTGTGACTTGCCTTGCAATAATCGGTCTTCAATTAATCTTCTTGAATACTTCCGGCGCACTCACGAACCTTCGCAACGACGGAAACGACAAACTAACACGCAAAACGAAGAATAAGACTAATAAAAACCAAATAAACAGTACATATAAAGTAAACAAACATGTAGATCCTGATTTTAGATGAATTTAGCAACTTGAACCACTCAAAACCGAGTTACGATGATTTAGTTATGAATTTCCGAAGATTTAATCTATTAGAAAAACAGGAAAAAGAAAAAAACGATGATGACGTCACCTCATCAATGGCCGAACCAAGATGGCGACCTCGCCGGAGATTGGATGGTCGGCTGCGACTTTGGAGGACAAGAACACGTAGAGGACGACGAGACGAACCCAACGGTACCCACCCTCGAACCAAACGACGAACGACGACGGCCGGCGACGAGGTCTAGCGGCGGCGCGGCTTCGGTCGACGGCGGCGACGGGGCTGCGGTGGTCGGCGGCTTCGGGGAGATAGCGGCCGGGCTTCTCCACCCTCCCGCGCACCTAACGGTGGTGACGGAGACCGGCGGCGACGGCGGAGGCGGCGGCGCGACGCGGATGGAGCTCGGCCGGCGACTACGGCGGGGTGGAGCACGTGGCGGCGGCGCTACGAGGCACGGGAGACCACGGGAGAGGGGGCAAACGAAAGAGGAGGACTAGGGGGTCCTATTTATAGCCTTGGATTGAAGAGATCGGACTCCTCCCGCAAGAAATCGATCCGGGAAATCAAAAACTCGGTTTTGGAGATAAACTCGAAAACGAGTTCGATTCGGATAAGATACTCAACGATTAGCTCCGATTTTTGGGGATAAAGATAGAGGAGGATAAGAGGAATATTTCCCCTCAACTAATTTTAGAAAAACACAAGGGGAAAGGTCAGATTTGGAGGAGAAAAACCGAGCCAAATCGGTCTCAGTTCGGCTGCTAGAGGTAGAAGATAAACAGTGTGGAGGGAGGCAAATTAGACTTTTCGTCTTGGGCTGGCTGAAAACAAAGCAAAGAAAGAAAGAGAAGGGGGAAGCTCGGCTGGGCCGACTTGGGCTGCACGGCCGTGCAGACAAAAGAGGGAGATGGGCTGGAAAGGGCCCAAGACTAGGAAGAGGATTATTATTACTTTTCCAATTAAATTAATCAATGAAATGATCTTTGAATTGTTAAAAATAATTCCTATGCTCAAATAATTCCAAGAAAAATCTTGAACATACTTGGAGACCCAAAGTATTTAACAATATTAAAAACAGACCATTTAATGATTAATTTAATATGTGGGTAATTACTGAAATGCTCTTTGTATGATTAAAAGTTAAGAATTGAGCTCCGAAACATCTGAGAAAATTTCAGAGAGTGTAATTAATCATGGAGAATTTAATCAAAATTAAATCCATCCATGCTTTATATTTAGGAAATTTTATTTCCCACATTTAACTTCACTTGTAAATTAATGAACATTTAATATAAATTCTAATAATAATTTATTAAATAATTTATAAATCCTGAAACAAAAATCAGGATGTGACATTTGTGCATAAAATCCTCGTCCAGAAATCAGCTAAGGTACACAAACTGACAATTTAATATACAGATTCATCAAATTAACTAAAACGATAAATACTTACTTAAGAGGCACTTAGTCCTCACCATGAAGAAAACTGCAGCGGAAAATAAAATCTAGCGAAGCTCCAGCTCCACTCCCATAGGTAGCTCAACTGGGTATAAGCCAAACGTCTTCTCCTTCGCAACTTGTCTTCAACTGAGGTTTGATTGATTATTGCAAGGTGAGCATATGACATACTCAGCAAGCCACACAGCAAATATGCAAGTGCACAAGGATACCAAAGAATGGCATAATACAGGGCTCATTTGCAAAAGCAGCATTTAGCAAACATTTGAGAATTGTAAAACAATAGAGTAATTAATCATCAATATTAATCAACACTGAACAGCACACCCATGCTGCACAGGCCCAACCATCCTGAACAACCATACCCGGCTGCACAGATCTATCTCCAAACCAGGAATGTACCATTCCAAACTAGGAGCTAAATTAATTACCATCAATTACCACATTATTATTAATGAGTAGTGTGGGACTAATCACGAAAGACATTGTTCGACCCGCCCATAACCGCGGGCACGGCTATTCGAATAGTTTTACTCTGGCCAGAGGTGTACTACTGTACCCACAAGACACATCTCCACAATATGTCACCATATCATCATGTGCCCATGCTGAACATGTCACCATTTGTGTAGTTGTGACAAGACCCCTCGCATAACTTAACCCAAAGCAGTGCACCGTTCCTGGATTGTAGTCACCCCCTCAAAAACCAGAGGCATGGACTCCCCAGCGACCCCCGTGGGCTTATCTCCGCCACTTCTCAGTCTGGTGCTCCGCAATGAGCCTTGTTATACAAAGTGTCCAGCTGTTGCCCATTCTGGCTTGTGGTTGGCACGGTTAATGTTTCACAACCGAAACTCGTGAACCGGTCCTTAATTGTCATGAGCACGACCATCAAAACCATGTGCTCACAACACACCATTATCAAGTTTTAGTTGGCACATTAATTAATTAACCAATCACGATTGATCATCGTGAGCTATCATTAAATATCCATCATTAAGTAATAGTGAAACATTAGTTATCCCAATTGTGTGCTAATGTTTCTAAGCATGGCTAAGTAATTATGTCTAACATCTAGCTGAACAAATATATAAAGCTCAACTAGTCAAATTATAATAACCCAAGGTATCAAGGAATAGAGTAATCAATGCAAACAGACCATAACAAAGGAATAAGTTCACACCACCCGATTGTAACACTAGAAATATGGGCCTTCAAAAACTTTTTAATAAATTGCATCATGCCGATTTTATTTGCCTATTTTATTGGAATTTGGTTTCAAAGTTTACCGATCGCGAATAAGGAATAATTAATTAGGAATAAACACTAAAATTAAATTGGCAAAATAACTAATTAAAATAAAGATTAGGTGAGTTTGGAAATAAATAAAATATTATCGCGACCATATTGGTAACAATTGAATTTAGGTGCGATGGAATAAGAATTAACCCTAATTAAATTCGAATAAATTAAATATAAAAATAAAAATAAAATATGGGTAGTGATAATCTAAGTTAGAGCAACACAAATATTGTGTAAACTTGATTTGTGCAAAAATTAGAAATATTAGGACAAGATTTGAATAGGAAAAACAACCAAATTGGAAAAATAGGAAAAGTCACTGTTCATTGCCCCATAGGTGTTCGCTTGAGGTCACTAGCCCTAACCCCCCCCCTCTGCCCCGCGCGTGGCCGCCCCGAGCCCCGCGCCGCCATGCCGCCGTTCCATCGCCTCGAGCCCCGCGCCGCCGTCGCGTCGCCGCGTGCCGTCATCATCGCCGCCCGTCGCCGTCGCCGTCGCGTCATCTCGCGCCCCGTGCCGCCGCTGTCGCGCCGTCGCCGTCGGCCGGGCCGTCGCCGCTCGCCCGTCGCGTCGCCGCCTCGCGCCCCACGCCCCGTCGCCGCTCGCCCGTCGCGTAGCCGCCTCGCGCCCCGCGCTGCTGCCGCGCCGCGTCGTCGTCGCATCGCCGTCGCCGTCGCGCCGAGCCCCGCGCCGCGCCGCCCGCCCGTCGCCATCGCCGCCAGCCGCACCGCGCGCCGCCTGTCGCGTCGCCATGAGGCCGCCCGCCCCTCCCCCACGCCCTTATAAAACCCGGCCCCTCCCCTTCTCCACCCCACACCCATCCTCTCCATTTTCCCCCTTCTCCTCCTTCTCCATGCGCCGCCGCCGTCGTGCCGCCGCGCCGCCGCCTTCATGCGCCGCGCCGTCGCCTCGAAGCCACCGCGCCGCGCCAGGTGTGGTGCCGAGCGTTGCCGCCTTGCGCCGCCGCCGCCGGTGAGCCGTCTTTCCCCCCCCCCCCTCGCGTCCAATGCCGCCGCCGCCCGGGTGGGCAAAAAGCCGAGAGAGAGAGAAAGGGAGAAGCCGGTAGGGAGAGGAGGAAGAAAGAAAAGAAAAGGGGAAGGAAAAAGAGAGGAGAGAAAAAGAAAGAAAAAGAAAGAGAGGAGAGAAAAAGAAAGAAATAAAAAAGAGAAATAGGATAGGGAGGTTAATAAAAATAGAAAATTTAAAATAATTAATTATTTAAGTATAGATTAATTATAGTCGTAAAATTGCAAAATTAAATTATATTTTGGTAATCTCTATGAGTAATTAATTTTAGGTAAGAAATTAGATTTATTTAAGCGCTAAATAAATACGTTGAATTCTTAGGAATTTACTTAGGAGACACAAAATATCATAGGTTGAGGAATAGTCCTATTTCACGAATAATATAGTTGATATAGAATTCGCCTCTCGCGCTCGTTTTTCAATTTGGTCTTTATTGGATTTTATTTGAATTCTAATGGAATTCAAATCAATTCTTCGCACGTACTTGTAGAGCCCGAGGGAGTTGCGGATCCGAGCGAAGGTCAAGACCCGCAAGACTTTGAGCAAGGCAAGTCATCACTATTCTTTGAGCATGTCGATCCCGATTGCAAAATTTATTTTGTTTACAAATAAGATTGCATGCAATGATGAACATCCCACTTGTGAAATATGCCATGCCTTGATTATTGTTCACCTTTAAATCTTTGTAACCATAGATACGTACGAGCCCCTAGTCAACTATGACAATTGCTTAGAAATGCTATTTTAGATTCATGCATGCTCATATTTTATCAAATACTATATGCTTGGGCAATTACCTTTGGGAAGGTAATTGAGATGCGGCATGTGGAAACATGAGCGCCACATTGCCATGATATGATGACATGAATTGTGAAAATAGAAATGAAATTAAACACTTGTTTTAGACTGGGGCCGACGGTAAGATTGGGTGGTATCTGGGAAAGGCTAGTACCGTCCCCGGTCAATTGAGGACCGAGCCATAAAGTTAAGCATGAAACGACCCCGTACAACCACACTTCTCGTATGGGGATAGACCTAGCAGAGTAAATAGCTGAGCGGAGGCAGTATCCATGCATAGTGGTTTCTTGATGTGTAAGGCAGGGGCTCTACAGTGGTGTCACCATTGGTAGGACTGCCATGTGATAATTTAAACATAATTATAACTTAATGCATGTGTGTGAGTCTTCCCTTCCCGGTGCGCCAGAACTCCTCTCACTGCTAGAAACTGTGTACACCTAGAGTGCATGAGGATGAAAAGTTCATGGAGCGGGTACTGCCAATGCGAGGTTATCGAAAAGCTTTGCCGTGATACGTCTCATGTGTTGGGACGAGGCTCATGTGTTGGGCAGTCGCGGAGTGTGGGTAAAGTGTACATCCACTGCAGTGTGAGTAAAACAAATCTATTCGATTAGCCGTGCTCGCGGTTATTGAGCACCGGGACATGTATTATACTTGGCTAGACTCTAAATTCTTAACTTGTGTGGGAAGGGTTATTGCATGATGAATTTTATGCTGTTGGAGCCACTTCCTGAGAAGGGGGAAGGTGGACGTTCTCAGAAAACTATGACGACTCAATGGCGGGAAGCTATCCTTGGGATCACAATGGATGATGGACAGAACCGTCGTTGTTTAAATATAAACACTGGTACTAAAATTTGATCAGTCAATGCTAGGTCTTAGGCTTGTGAAAAGAATTACAAAACTTGCTTTGCGCAAAAGAACCATAGCCATCCTTTGAAATACCCCTATCATGTGCATTGTTGATGTGGTGGCTTGCTGAGTACGGTTGGTACTCACCCTTGCAAATATAAACTTAATCAGAGGCCGGAGATGAAGCTTCGGAGGATCCCTATGCCTATTACCAGGAGGGTGATGAAGACGATGACGCTCAATAGGTCTTAGTTACGGTCATTGCCTATGGCAATGGCATGCCGCTGCCTTAATTCCGCTGCCTTATCT